ACAGAATGAAGTAAGTCAGAAAGAGAAAAACAAATACCATATGCTAACACATATATATGGAATCTAAAAAAAAAATGGTTCTGATGAACCTAGGGGCAGGACAGGAATAAAGACGCAGATGTAGAGAATGGACTTGAGGACACGGGGAGGGGGAAGCGTAAGCTGGGACGAAGTGAGAGAGCAGCATGGACATATATACATTACCAAATGTAAAATAGATAGCTAGTGAGAAGCAGCCGCATAGCACAGGGGGATCAGCTCAATGCTTTGTGTCCACCTAGAGGGGTGGGATAGGGAGGGTGGGAGGGAGATGCAAGAAGGAGGGGATATGGGGATATATGTGTACGTATAGCTGATTCACTTTGTTATACAACAGAAACTAACACATTGTAAAGCAATTATACTCCAATAAAGATGTTAAAAAAAAAAAAAAAAGAAAAAGAAAGCTAAGAATGAAGAATTTCAGTGCCTTTCTGTTTCTTTCAGAGTACTGAGAGCCACCCCGTTGCAGGGATGTCTGTCGGTGTCTGTCCCCATCCTGGGGAAAGTGGGAGGCATTCTGAGAGGGATGCTTTCTGAGCAGGTCACTCAGCAGAGTGTCTCCTTCTGGTAGATGTGATGCTCAAACATAAAGACAGCAGGAAGCACCAGAAAAGCCGTTCACTGCCCTGGGTAATAGGTGGTGTTGCATTCAGTAACTAACAAGTAAAGAAGAAGCCAAGACTTCCGGAGCACTTAGTGCTATGCTTGGCTAAACACTGGAATATTTCATCCTCATGAAGCTTGAGGAGGCAGGTGCTATTCCTTTCATCACTTCCATTTAACTGAAGTGGAAAGTACGTAGGGACATTGAGTAATTTTGTAAGGTCACAGAGGTGGTATGCGGCATCACCAGGAATCAACTCAGGCCTGGTGGCATCAGAGCCCATGCACTTACCCACCACACATGCTGGAGAAACAGCAGGGGCGGCTCTCTCACTTCCTGTGTGGTCTTGGGCGTGGTTCTTGGCTTTCCTGGGGCTTCCGTTTCCTATCTGTAAAACTAAGGGATTGGGGGACTGGACAAGAGACCGATTCTTTTTTCTTTAATTAATTTATTTATTTTGGCTGTGCTGGGTCTTAGTTGCGGCACGCTGGATCTTCATTGCGGCATGCGGGATCTTTTTTTTTTTCACTTGTGACATGCGGGCTTCTTAGTTGCAGCATGTGGACTCTTAGTTGCAGCATGTATGCGGGATCTAGCTTTCCGATCAGGGATCAAACTTGGGCTCTCTGCATTGGGAGCGTGGAGTCTTACCCACTGACCACCAGGGAAGTCCCAAGAGAGCCATTCTCATAAACTGGGCTCTTACAGATGAGAAAACATCCGGTAAGAGTCTCTTAAGATGTGTGGCCCAAAGGATGGGAGGAGCACCCCCAAGAAGGTTGATTCCTACAGGGCTAAAGCCTAGTGAACTGGAGGTCACCCCATCTGTGGGGCCTCAGAGATTTAAAACTTCTACTTGAAACTAGGTCAGTGATGCCTCTTCCCACCCAATTTCACTTCCTGGCTGGGAAGTGAGTCTTCCACGGAGGACAGGGTCCATAGTGCCTTTGACAGAAGACGGGTCGAGGTGTTGAGGGTAGGAGAGTGGGCACGCTTTGGCCTCAGGAACCAAAGCTGAGGGCCAAAGTCCATCTGACTTCTAGTTACCTTTGCCGAGTTCTAGTTACATTTCCTGAGTGACCTTGCTGGTGACCTTGAGCAAATTCCCTCTCGCTCTGACCCTCAGTGGCCTCCTCTGTAAAGTAGAGATAACAGTAGCATGTGCCCCATAGGTGATAATACAAATAACTCTCATAAAACAGTGCCTGGAACACAGTCAGCGCTTAGCAAATGTGAGCTGCCACGCCCCCACCATCATCATGTCAGAGGACAAAAATAAGTAGATCGGGGCCTTTGTAAGTAAGCATTGCTAATGCCCAAAGTTGTGAGCACAGAGGCCTTGGGGGAGAAGGGCCCTGTGTGGTTGGGCCACTTAAGATGGCTGTTCTCTTGCTCTCTATACATCCCCAGCCCGACCAGTGCCCATGCTCCGCCTATATCTTACACGCATGACTGACCTTCCTAGGTACTTGGCCCAGGCCCCAGCTAGTGATTGTTCTAGTTAAAGGCATAGTGAGGGGCGTGCCCTTCTACTGGTGACTAATGAGCCCACCTGATGTCAATTTCCCTGTAACTGGCAACTCCTTCCCCCTGGGAGCAAAGACTGCCACCATGGCCTGCCCGTCTGCTGCACGTGGTGGGGTGTCGCTCCAGGACCCTGCTTCAGACGTGTAAGCTCCCACATCCATTAAACCATTGATGTCTCTGTTGCTGACTCCGGGCTCTTTCTTTGGTCTTGAATCTGGGCAAGCACAGGCCTTGTAGGCCTGTGGGGTGCAACCCAACCAAACCCAAGGAACAGAGAGGGGTGTCTGCAGCTCTGGCCACTGGAGACTGTGGGCCCTGGAGCAGGCTGCCCTTTTGACCTTGAGGGAGGCTCTTGGAATTACTTACTGTTCCTTGGGAGAGGGGAGTAAAGGCAAAACAATCACCATTAGGCACTGGACCCACTGCGTCCAAGTTTGTTGAGAGCAGCAAAACTGTGTATTCAAAATGGGGTCTAAACTGAGGGGAATGTAAGGCGGATCCGTGGAGGAGAGATGGGATCTGTTATTTTTATTTATTTATTTATTTATTTTGGGGGGATCTGTTATTTTTTGAGGCTTTTCAGACTTTCTCAGCTGGACACGATGAGACATACATTTTGGCTACTCCATCTGAACCCCTGGTGGTGACAGTCAGTTTCTGAATAGAAAAATTTGAAGAGGAAACACTGAAGCTGGAAGGAAAGGTTCTCACCCAAGCCTGGGAGTGTATGATGAGATTTTATTGGCTTATATTTAAATGTTTCCTTTTCCATGCTTTTAGCTTTGTGGAACACTGTGGGTATGATTTAGCTATCTCTAGGGACCAAATGTAAAAATGTTTTATGAACATCAGAAAAATCGTCCCCAGAAGAATTTCTCTTTGGTGTTAGCAGTTCAAGTAAGGATTCTCCCTCCCCTCCCCATCTCCCTTCTCTCCAGCCCCATGGGAAAAATCAGTTGCCGTCCATTCAAGAAAATAAGCACCGAGGGGTGCCTTGGTGTTCTGTAAAGCCTTACGGAGAGTGTTTCCAAATCTTCACGTCGGAGGGTCACTGGAGTGGGGGATCCGGGTGAGAAGGAAGCAGTAAAAATGAGGATATTTTTACACAGCTCTTGGGCTGTGTAAATAAATAGATGATAAGCTCACGGTTTCAGGACCCAAAAGTACATACTGTGCCGCATGGCACGCAGGATCTTAGTTCCCCAACCAGGGATCGAACCCGTGTCCACTGCTTTGGAAGCGCCAAGTCTTAACCACTTGACCGCCAAGAAAGTCCCTAGAGTATGTATTTGACGTCGTTGTTCTACATCTTCTTGAGACTCTCTACAGGCCTGGAAGGGCTCTGTTTAATCTACAATCAGCTTCCCTGTTACACTGTGGCCACGTGGTTCTGGCGTCACCCCACAGTACCCGGGGAACAACCCCGGATGGGAATCCAAAGTCCTGGGTTTGGGGACTGTCTCAGCTACTCACTAGCCGTGTGACCTTGGGCAAGTCACTTAATGATGCCTGGCACACAGTATGTGCTTAATGAGTATTGATCAAATGAATAAATAAATAAGTAAACCACCTGAGCCTCAGTTTCCTCATCTGAGAAATGGGGGAATAATTCTGCCCCCCCCCCTCACCTGACAGGCTGTGATCATGTCAGTAAAATTGTTGCCTAGAAATGCTTCTCAAACGTTCATGCATTTCACTTCAGTCACCTGGGGAGTTGCTCAAATGCAGATTCTGACTCAGTAGGTCTGGGTTGGGTGGGCCTGAGTTCTGCATTTCCAGCTGACCCCCAGGGGATTCCTGTGTGGACCACACTTTGAATAGGTAAGTCCAAGACTCTGATGCTCTACAAGTACTTGAGCTTGTTAACATCTCTTCAGCCAATGGGGTCGGGATAGACTCCAAGGATAGACTAACCAATTGTCCCAGCGGGCTCTCGACTAGGGGGTTTCCTGGGACACAGGGCTCTCAGTGTTAGAGCCAGGGAAGTCCCGGGCAAACAAAGTTGATCACTTCACCAAGATAATGGAAGGGAAAGGGATGCTGCCATCTGAGCTGCTTGTGAACTAGAAAAAAACAAAACAAAACAGAAACAGACAGGCGTATTTGCTAAGGAGAGGAAAACATCCCCTCCTTAGATCAATTAGTCTTTGCACCCCCTGATTTCTCAGAGGCCCAGAGAAGTGGGGTGACTTGGCCGACAACACACAGCTCCTCAGGGGCAGGGCTGGGGCTGCAGCTCCGCCTCCTGACGCACTGTGGAGCAGCTGGGGGGCTTTCTCACCAATCCACATGGCCTTCTCCAACACATTCCTCTTTATTTGGCAAACACAGCATGTTTATTTATAAATTGGCTTTTTTTTGGAGCCTGAAATTTGGCATAGCTGATTTGGGCTGTAAGAAGTTCAAATTTTTCCTCTTTTTGTTTTGGTTTGCTTAACCATGTTTTGTGAGCAAAATATGCAAAGTAATAAAAACGACGAGGCTACTAAAGTGGTCCAAATGCAAAGCCTCCAGAAATGTGGCAGTGTCAACTTAGCACATTTATTCTGTATTTCTAGATAGTAGATTAGAAACCCATGAGGTTTACTTCCGGGGACTTAACAAACCACGAATAAATAGCTGGAGTCTCTTTCCAGGCTGTTTCTCTTGAGGTGGGACAGGAGTTTGGGAAGAGCACCCCTGGTGGGCAGATTGCTGGAGGCTGTTCCTCTGCTCCTTAGCTCAGTCCTTAGAGAAGCTGGCAGTCATCAGGACTAAAGTCTGTGCGAGGATTTGTAGAATGTCACACAAAATCCTTTGCATTTAATTTTGCACACGGCAGAAGTCGTAAATGAACGTTGCCTTTTATTAACACTGAAATCCGTGCAAGGAATTTTCACGCTAAATATGTGAATACATTGCATTTAGAACAGCTAGTGTGCCCTCAGATCCCAGATCCTTCGAACTGTGCTGTAAGTTCAGGTGGCTTTTCGTTGGGGGTGGGGTAGGGTGGAGATGGTGAGAGAGAGAGGCTGATTTTATTTGTGACTCCACCTGGTGTAGGGAGTCTGGGTGTGGCCCCTGATCAGTGCTTCATGCAAATCTCTTATCTGTTCCTGTACCCAGAGAACGGAGTCTTAGCTCTGCCCACAACGAAATAAGCGATCAGCTCTGGTGGTGAACACTCTTCTTTTCACATAGTGTGGTTGGCTGGCAGCTTTCGCCACTGTCTTAATATAATACAACAAGCTACAGGCTGAGCACAGCTACAAGCCTCATCCAATGTTTTTAGCAATAATCTATCTATCTATCTATAAATATAGATAGACACCTAAATATATACATACAAGAACACATGACACAGGCAAGCCCTGGCAAAACACACAAATTTTAAAGATTGTTTCCATAGGCCCACCGAGAACCTCTAACAGGGACAAAAGGACATTTTCAACCTCAGGCTCCAGGCTGAGACCTGAAGAGGCAGTTTCCAGAGTCAGGGGCCAGCTGGGGTGAGTGGCTGGTGATACCTAATTATGGTGGAAGGGAGACGGCCAGTTAGTCAAGCTTGAAAAACCCCATCTGCTCTTCCGGAGGCATTTCTGGGTACTGGGGTTGGTGGCTGGGCTTATACGCACCCATGTTCTAGAATCAGAAGCCCCAGGGACCTGACTGGACAGATCCACAAATCTAGGGACAGCTGATTAAAGGGGAACTAAGTTGTGCTCACAGCCTGATCCAGGGGTCTCCTCTCACACTTGGCCTCTGCATTCTTCTTCTTCTTCTCATTTTCTTGTTGGCTCTCTTAAGAGTTCTGGTGTAAAACAGAGCCTCCCTGAGAGCTTCTGATTTCTGGGTACAACACAGACAGCTGTTTCAAGGGGTTGAAGCTTCCTGTCACAGTAATTGTATCTGCCTGTGGGGTGGAGAGGACCGGAAGTTTGCAAGCTCTCTGTGGTTGATTGTGCTCAGCACAGCACAGAAGTACCACTTTGCTGGTTGACCGTGAAACCCCTGTCTCCTTCTGGTCACCCACTGTGCAGGTGAGTCACTCTCTATAGTTACCCAAAGAACCCGCTCTAAACCTTGGAGTAAAACTCCTGGGTCTAAGAGATGCTTGATCTTGTGAGAGATCCTAAGGATATCTGGGAACCAGTGTTCACTCTGCGAGTTGCTGGCTGTTTCCTAGGAGCTCTTTGTTGTGGCTTGAGGGACTCTTAGTGTCCAGGGACCTCCCTCAGGGACACATCTTTAGTTCTTTTTTGCTGTTAACAAACGAGGCTACCTGCTGCCAAACAGCTCCACTGCCCTTACCACTGTCATCCCAGGCGCCAGCTAGGCTGGCTGTGACCGGTCCGAGCTACCTCACGCTTTCTCTCCCTACCTGCAGTGTTACCGGCAGAGGCCTCAGGACACCACCACCCGTTTCTTCACTCTTGTGTTCTTCCCCTCCAGGAATCAGAACAATCGGAAGAGCTCCCATTGGGAAGAAGTGTGCTGGAGTTTGGGAGTGGGATCCATGGAGCTGTGCACTGCATTTGGCCACAGTGGGGACTGCCCCACTGGCCATTTTAGACACACAAAGGTTATAGTTGCTCTGCTGGTCCGGCAAGGGCAAAAATCACCCTCCTGGCAGCCAGCAGTGCTGGGAGCCTAGAGTATTTCAGTGCCTGGCTGCAATTTTCCCATTAAGGGAGTTCTGTTTCAGACCTTTCTGTCCTTCAGAAGCTTGAAAAGAATCCTATTCTCTTCGCTGCGTTATCTTTTTACTTTTGCAAATTCTGATACGATTTCTCAAAACCATAGCTATTCCTTTGCCTGGTTTATGAAGAATACATATAGATAGCCGAGGTCCAGCATGTTTCCCACTCTGATTGTTACCATCCTCACCAAGGATAAACCACGAAACATCTGGAAAACCTTCAGCCCAGTGTTTGGATGTGCCTGGTTATTGGCAGACTCCCTACCCCCGCCTCAGGAGGCCTTGTATTTAAACTAACTTCCCTCTTTGGCAGCATCCCGGTGACATGCACAAAAGGATGTGACTAAGTGGAGACTGTGATTTAATATTTATTTGCTGAGGATGTTTTTTTACTTTGAATGAGGGTGAACTATAGGTTTTCACTTGAAATGCTCTTCAGAAGCAACCCCAACTCATCCCTGGGACAGAACTCCCTTAAAACCAGGTTAAGTTTAGGAGCCTAAACTCTCTGCCCCAAGAACTTCCGGCAGAGTTGGGGAGATGCAAGCAACTTTCCAGGTCAAGGTCTTACGTATAAAGTCCCTCTCTCCCACACCAGCTTCCTCTATCCCAATCCCTCTGGAGGCTTTGCTTTTCAACAGAATCCAACTGAAGCTCCCTGCTGGGTATGTTTCAAGAAGCCCTCTCTCCACCTTGTTTCTCTTTAATGGCTATAAAATTCCAGCTCAGAGGAGGAAAAATATTAATCAGGCAGGCCCTGCCTTTGGAGGTACTTACTGGCACTGACAGAAGACCAGGCCAGTGAATACAGTGGACACCAAACGTGCCATTGGAATGAAGAGCCCGCAGGGTAGACGCGGCCATGCACAGCACGGCTTGCCAGGCCCGGGCTGGGCTGCAGTTGGATAAAGCCCGCAACACAAGCGACACACACGTTTGTTGCAGAAGTACTGGCTCTCAGCAGAAAGGTCAAGCTGGGGTAGTGAAGCCTAAAAATACGATCTTCCCACAAGTTCCTTCTTCTCTCATTTGGCTTTCTTCTGATGCCAGCATGCCGGTCAGTGGCTTGCCAAAAGGGCTGGGAGCAGCCATACCTGTGTTTTAACAGATGGAGAGAACTCCTTCTTCAGACTTCCAGAGCACAGAAGCTGGAGCAAAATATGCTGCATCCGTAGCCTTGAGGACCAGCTCTTGAGTCTATGGACCCTGGAATACAGCGGCCCCAGTCTAGAGCTGGGTTCTCTCGTGTCATATGTAGGGGCGTTAGGTGACCGGAGCAGGGCATCTGGCCGTCTCCAGGTGGGAGGGGACCTCTGAGGCAGCTACAGAGTAGACCATTGAGAGACTCAGAAGGGGAGACCCCTGGCATCAAAACAGGCTGAAATTAGGTTACTCTTCCTTAAAAATTCAATGTGGTTGCTTTTCTGCCTCCTGCTTCAATAGTTGGGGTGTGATGGCCAAACTATAGCTCTGGCACCACAGACCATGGGCTCATCTTCCCAGCCAGGGTGTGTTCACAGGAGGCCAAGGAAAGTCACTTCTCTGCTTTGCTTTGACTCACGTTTGCTGAGGTCCCCGGGTCTTCCTTCCTACCCTTCCAAGGGAGACCTGGAGCTCTCAGCACTGCTCGGCCTCCACGAAGCCCTCCTTCTCGTGGCCTGAGGGCTCAACTTCTGTGTAGGTGGAGTGGTTAAGGTGGCTGCGGAACTTCATGGCCGGCCAGCGGCGAGGTCTCCGCTGCGAGAACACAGGCACAGAGTCAGCGGGCGCGATCCCTCCCCTGGGACCCTCCCCCCCTCCCCCTTCCCCCGGGGGACGGCTCTGAGCACTTCTCAAAGGTGCTGGCGGAGGGTGAAGTTTAGGGCCCTCTCCCCCAGAAGGCTCCCAGCTGTGATCCTTCGCGCCCCTGGGAAACCTGCTGGGAGCCCCAGGAGTTGGGAAGGAAGAGGTCATTTTATTCCTCGCCGTGTGGACTACAGGACGCGAGGTGAAAAGCTCAGCAGCACAGGGTGGAGTCCCGAGACTGTGGAAAGTGAGGGAGTGGGTAAGAGATGGAATGATCTGGGAGGCTCTGGAAACGCCAAGATAACCCTCCAGACAGTACAGGTCCTGCATCAGAGCTGGGGAGCTGAGGGAAATGCAGATTCCCAGGCCTCCGTCAGACCTCTGGTCAGCATCCCTGTGGCTGGGGATCTGCAGGTTCCCCAGGTGAAACAAGGTTGGCCTTAGCCTCAGTAGGTCTTAATCTTAACCTAAGAATGACTGGTTAGAACTCATAAGAAACAAGGGGGCATCTAAACAGAGAGGAGGAGGCTTCCCTGGTGGCCCAGTGGTTGGGATTCCGCCTGCCGATGCAGGGGACGCGGGTTCGTGCCCCGGTCCGGGAAGATCCCGCGTGCCGTGGAGCATCTGGGCCCGTGGGCCGTGGCCACTGGGCCTGTGTGTCCGGAGCTCTGCAGTGGGAGAGGCCACAGCAGTGAGAGGCCCGAGTGCCACAAAAAAAAAAAAACAGAGAGGAGGGAAAGACCTAGGCCTCTGGGTGATGAGGTTGGGGGCTTGTGACCCATGTGGAGGATTGCAGTCCCAGAGGCCCCATCACTGTAGGATTCAGAGAGCTGGTCAGATGCCGAGAGCGGGGGGCTGGGGCAGGGGCTGCTGAGCTCTGTGGCCCAGAGTGAAGGGGCGCAGGTCTTACTTCCCATGCTGCACCTCACCTCAGGCTGACTCTTCTGAATCCTGAGATGTTGCAAACTGCAGCATCCTCAACAAAAGCTCCCAGACAGAGCAACTCTTATGATTACTATGGCCTGTCAAATCTAATCGAAAATCGCACACAGCAGGCCAAGAGGCAGAGACCTCAGTTCCATTATGGCTTTGAATAAGCACCAGGCCTGGAATTTGGGTGTGAGAGACCATAAATCATTAGGGATGGTTGCACAACACTCAAGGGGCATGTGAGGCATTTTTGGCCTCTTTCTTTCTTCTGGGGACTGTTCTGATTTCACAAATGGGAGCGCAAAAGCAGAGGCTGTTCAACAGGACAAGAGGGCCAGAGGAGTCCTGAGGGGTCAAGCCCTGGGGGGGTTAGGGACTCAGAGGGTGCCCGCCAGTGCAAGATGTGCCTGGATGGAGTCAATGAAGTCCCTCAGGTGGAAACAGGAGGCCGGCACGTGGCGGGTGAGGGATGAGATGGGGAGAGGCAGGTATTGAAAGGCTGGGGAAACACTGACGCAGATGCAGACGCCAGAGAGAGGCGGCCCAGTCCTGCACTGACCTCGATGAAGAAGAGCGCAGTGTTGGAGGTGGGGTGGCCATTGATATAGATCCCGGCCAGGATGATGGCCGCCAAGAGGAGGACGGCCAGCACGATGCCCACGATGGTGCCCAGGTGCAAGGGGGGGCCCTTTGTCTTGGGGGACAGGTTGTTCTGAAGGCCTGTGGAGAGACCATTAGGTCAGGGGAGCAAGGAAGGTGGGGTCATGGGGTCCTGGGTTCTGACAAAGTCCCAGAGATGAAAGCCGACTGAACCTTCAGGTCTACTTATCAAATACATGAAAAGGTGGAGTCGGTGGAACCATTATGAGTATGACATGAACTTTGTTCTTAGCACGGTTCAGGTCGTTTTCCAAAATCACTTAAAAGTTGCCCAAATGTCTACTAAGGATCATAAAATTTCTCTCCAGTACCCATCCCATATAAGTTCTTTTAAGGAATTCACAAAGGGCATGTGATGGTTAAGACTTGGGATCTGGAGCCTGGCTGCCTGGATTCAAATCCAGGCTCTGCTACTTACGAGCTGTGTGACCTTGGGCAAATTATTTAACTTCTCTGTGTCTCGGTTATCATTTCTGTAGCACAAGGATAATAATGTTAAGTACCTGGTAGGGTTATTGAGAGGGTGAAAATGAGATAATTCATGTCAACTGCTGAGGATCACGGCAGGTATCTTGGACAACTTTAAAAAGTGTTAGCTATTATGATAGCAGAATGACCACATCTTTACCTGTCACTGTCCACTACCAGATTGTGACCTCCTGTAGGGCAAGGACAGTGTCTTAGTCATCTCTGTGTTTTCAACTCTTAGAAAAATCGGCAGACTCATCAGAGGAACTCAATAAAAGAAATGAACTAGACACTCGGAGGGCTAATAAACCAGCAGACACTCTTTGTGAACATTCCAAGCATTTGAAATACATTCCCCAGGAGAAGACTGGGTATTTTCCATAGACTATCGAACTGGAAGCTCATCCAGTCCAACCCCTTTCTCATACGGCTGAAGGAATGGAAATACAGAGAGATGAAGGGATTTGTCCAAGGACACAGTGCTAGCCACCAAGAAACCTAGTTCCCTGATATTACCTGGGGTGGGCTTTTGCTCCTTCTCTCTACCCTAAAAGGATGTGGAGATAACGACACAGAGAAGACAGATGAGCATGTAAGCAACACAAATGTTGAATCCACTTTACATCGCTGGTGGGTGGAATGGGAGTCAACAGGGGGTAGAGATTTTTAATAAGATATTGTGTGCATCCAAAATCATTATGTTCCCCATCCCCTTTTCTCTGTCAGCAGAAAAAAAACCCAGGAGAGAAACTATCCTGGGGCACTCCTGTGCGTGGTTCATGCCTCTATCTGCCAAGAGCTGGGGGAGCTGCGATGACATGCCCCAAGCTGGCCTCTCCTGAGCTGGCCGTCAGACCTCAGCCTTCAGTGACCCTATGATCTGAGGGGCAGAGCTTGGGCTGATGAGCACATGGTGCAGAGTAAGGGGATCGTGGCCCAGGGCCCCCTGCTTCCCCACAGCCCAACAGACACACGTGTACACTCACACCCACAGCCCACAGAGCAGCAATGGCTCCGTCTCCCGTGGGAGACCCCATCAAGATGTGCTGCGTTAATAGACCCTCCTCTCCTGCTGGAGCCCAGGTAACAGTCTCTCAGCCCCTGGGGCTGGAAGGCTCTTCCATCTCCCCTTTGTGGTAGTTGCAGCAAGGGCTTGAGCTGGCTCTGGGCAAAGGGTGGGGGTGGGTGGGGGTGGGGTCATCCCATGTCCCCAGAGAGGAGGTTATCCCCCAGGCAGTCCTGGGGAAAGGGGACCCCACCTTCTGACACCCTGTAAAAGTTGTGGTGGGCAACGTTTATGTACTCTCTGCCAAGCCACTTGAGTGAGGGAAGCTGCTCTCCACCCCTCATTGGCTGGGAGGCCCCTGGGGACAGAAGCCAGGGCCACAGGCAGACACAGCCACGCCTGCCCTAGCTTAGCCCTCACTTCCTCCTCTCACTCCTATCAGGGAAGCGGATACTCAAGGGCACAGAGGCCGGGAGAAGAACCACAGGAGGATCGTGGCTGAGATGAGAAATGTCTAGATGTAGATTTGCTCCTTCAGTCTAGGGGGTCTGTTCCCAGAAGCCCCCTGCCTTCCCACCCAGCAGGAAGTCTGGGAAGCGCAGGCTGCTGTTGTTTCCCCCTCCCCCACTCAGAGTAAAAGCAAAGAGGCCAGGTGACGGCTGCACCCTCTTCCAGGGTGGGTCCAAGAGGCAGTGGTGTGTTGAAGAGGGGCAGGCAGTTCTGTACTCACCCTCTCCTTCTGCATAGGGATTCAACTTGGTGTCATCTTCAAAGGGAAAGGAGAGAAGGCACAAGATTAGTGGAATCATGATGGCCTCTGTCACTAGGTCTGGATGAGACTTTAGGGAGGTTCAAGTCCAACCCTTCATTTTGAAGGCTGGGAAACTGAAGCACAGAGAGGAGAGGTGACTTGCTCAAAGTCACACAGCAGTGTAAAGGTAGAAGGCCACAGACAAGGCAACTTTTCGTAGTGTTCATACATTCAACAAATATTTACTGAGTGTTTACTAGGAGTTCACTCCGACTGGGGCCCTTGCCCAGACAAAGGGAGTCAAGAAGGAGGGATGAGCTATGGGGCTGGGAGAAAGGGTCCCAGACAGCGGAGGGAGTGGGGGCAAAGGCTGGAGTCAGCAAGAACTTGGCCATCGGAGACAAAAAAAGCAGTTCAGTGCAGCTGGAGGGTAGCGAGGATGTGAATAAAGGGTGGTGAGAGTGAAGCGGGGGCATGGGGGGATCAGCTGTCTGGAAAGCTAAGTTGAGGGCCTAAGGGGCAGTCTCCTGAGGGGCAGCGGGAAGCTGAGGAAGGATTTGAGGAGAGGTGTGTGTATCACAAGATCGAATCTGCTTGGAGACTTCCCAGGGTACAACACACTCCCTCTACACCTCAAGGAGTGTATCTTGCAGCCTCCTAAATAAGTTCCAGTGGTTGACCCTTCCTGTGGCTCTTCCCCACAGATTCCTATGGGGAAAGGACAGTAAGAATTCCACGTCAGGAGAATGTTCTAGATGACTGGAGCTTACTGCTTCAAGCATCAAAACGTTAAACCAGCAGAACCTTCCACAATGTGGGGCCTGCAACATGCACTTCGTTCCTCCTTCCCCTCTAGCACGCCCACCATCCTCCTAATTTTAAAGGATTTCACTGGCTCCCCTTTGTTCATAGATGTTCAAGGCCCTTCTCAGTGTGTCCCAATCTTCTTTTCTCCTACCACTGGCCACAGCTCAACAGCATGTCAGTGTCTGTGACAAGCTACCCAAGGTTCTCCAGACCTTGGAGCCCTCTCAGATCTCTGAGCCACTGTATGTACTGTTCCTCCTGCAGGGGATGCCCTTCCTCCCCTTCTCTTTTAAAAGTACCAACCCTGAAATGTCCCCTGCAGGGCTGGGGCTAGGGTGATACATGTGACACAGGGTCTGATCCTGTCTGCTCCGGACGCGCAGGCTCCGCGGCCATGGCTCACGGGCCCAGCCGCTCCGCGGCATGTGGGATCTTCCCGGACCGGGGCATGAACCCATGTCCCCTGCATCGGCAGGAGGACTCCCAGCCACTGTGCCACCAGGGAAGCCCCTGATCCTGTCTTTTTAGAATTTTTTGAAATTTTGTTTATTATGGAATTTTTGGCATTAATTTTGATTTTTACAAATTTTGCAAAAAAAGATTATTATCTTAATTATTGCTTTTTTTTTTTTTTGGTGCCTCCTTAAACTTGATACCTGCACTGAGTGCCTCACTTGCCTCACCCTAGTCCTGGTCCAGGCCCGTCACTTCCCAGAGGACAGATGGGTGTGTCCTCCCCTGTGTCCCATTGCATTTGGTATCTGTTTCTGTGGCATCTTGGGTCCCACTGATTCCATAGACTGTGAGCCTCTCAATACCCAGCTGTTTACATTCCCAGTGCCTGGACGTGGCATACTGCTCTGCTATACATTTCCAATAAATCTTCAAATATCAAAAAATCACATTAGATAATGAAAGAATAAACCATAAGAAAAATTTTAAATGGTCCCTCATAGAGGAAAGAGGGAATAGGGCGGAGGGGAGAAAACTAGAAACTAAACTTCTTTGAATATAGCTACTTTTGTAGATTTGACTTTGGAACCATGTTAATTATCAGTTAACTGTTACATAATTTATAAAAAAGTTAAATTTAAAAAGCACCCCTCGGGACTTCCCTGGTGGCTCAGTGGTTAAGAATCCGCCTGCCAATTCAGGGGACACGGGTTCAAGCCCTGGTCTGGGAAGATCCCACATGCTGCGGAGCAACTAACCCCGTGAGCCACAACTACTGAGCCTGCGCTCTAGAGCCCATAAGCCCGCGTGCCACAGCTACTGAAGACGGCGCGCCTAGGGCCCATGCTCTGCAACAAGAGAAGCCACCACAATGAGAAGCCCACGCACCGCAGCGAAGAGTAGCCCCTGCTCACTGCAACTAGACAAAGCCTGCACACAGCAGCGAAGACCCAGCACAGCCAAAAATAAAGAAATAAATTAAAAAATAATAATAATAATAAAATAAAATGATAAAAAGCACCCCTAAAAATTCAAAGTAAAACAAAACAAATAGAGAATTGTAGGCGTATAATAGAAAGATACGTTTTCTTCAGGAATTTCAATACACGAGGTATTTATGTATGCCTCTGAGTCTATTTTGTTACTACAAGTTGAAATGATGAATTGGTTACTCAACACTAACCAAAGTAACCCTAAACATCATTGGACAAATTAACTTGATTGGAATCAACTTGTTTTGAATCTAGACCATTGGAAATCCATTGTAGCCCAGTCCACATCTACCCTTGGCAGACAAAAGGACACTCTCCACCCACCAGTCCCTCCCACAAGGTGACTGAAGGTGACCACCCTGTGCTCACAACAGCTTTTCTCCCACTCACCGAGGGCTGGTTACCACCTGCCACCTTGTTGGGGGTCCACAGAATGCAAACTGATTCCCTCATTAATGGACTGTGGCCCAGGCCCATGAAAACTCACAGAGAGAAGAAATGTGTGTAATGTCTAGTGAATGAGTGGTCATTTTCTGTAGTTAGTGGTCACTTCTGGCTGCTGCCAACATGTTCTGTTCAGCTGCCCATCAGATGTGCCCTTACGTTGCACACAGTTATTCCGGGTCAGTGCCTGTCTGTCCTTATAATAAAATGCATGGGCTTTGTGGCAGCTGCTTGCCACTCTGAGGTCATTCTGGTTCACTTAAGTGGGCAGCATTTAAGCAAGTGAACAAGTCTTAAACCCAGCCCTCATACCTGCTGCTCCCCTGGTCCTCTCCATTCCTCTGGATGGCTGGCGACAGAAGGGCTCCACACGCCCTCCAGCAGCTGCTCTCACTAACTCCTCTGCTCTCCAACTCTGCTCTGACCAGGTGGGTCCCCCTGGCTGAAGTGCTGTATCCCCTTCATTCACAACGTCTTCCTGGACCCCGAGATATACTCTGCCTCCAGTAAGTCTCCCTGTGTGGGTTATAATTGCACAGGCAGGGGGTGACCCAAACCTGTCCCTCCAGACACCTTGAGAGTTTGGGGTGGGGGGAAGTCTTTATCAATTTTTCTTTTCTTTCTTTCTTTTTTTTTTTTTGGCTGCACCACATGGCTTGCAGGATCTTAGTTCCCTGATAGGGATCGAACCTGTGCCCCCTGCAGTGGAAGCGTGGAGTCCTAAACACTGGACCACCAGGAAAGTCCCCCCAATTTTTTTTCTTATAGAGGTAGCCTAACAATCTCTACCACCCGCTCCAGGACTGGAAGGACATATATTTTTCTTTTGGGGACTATTACACAGCAAACAGAAATGACACATTCCTGGGCTGAGAGAAGACACACACATGATAAAACTGATAAACAGAACACACTGCCTCTATGTAGGGACAGCTCATCAGGGCAATAACCCGGGAGAAATGGAGAATACTTCCAAGTCAGGATTTGAATCCAGCCCCCAGAAGCCATGCGCTGGGCTCTCCACGCCCACACAGCCACCCTTCTGGCCTCAGGCACCGTGCCTCATGCAGACGTAAACCTCTGAGGGAAAGGCTGCTTTCTGATCTGGAGGACGGGGTGTGCAGCCCCCAGCCCAGCTCTGGGCTCAGACCGTGCCCTCAGTAGCACATAGGGTTAACTCAGGAGTGACTGGCCATGGGTTCTTCTTTTTAAGTAGAGTTTCCTTTAACTGGAAGGTCACCCCTGGACTCAGTTATTAACTCCCTGAGGGCAAGATCTCCTCCTGTGTCATTTTTCATTTGATTTATTGAATCCCTCACAGCACTAGCACAGTCTCTGCTCTCAATACCTGAGCTTTAACCAGTTACTCGTTATTCCTGGGCAAGTTCAGAGTGTTGGGACCTGTCTGAATCTGCCCACTTGTTCACCCTTCCCTATTTTTCCACCCATTGAATCCATGAAGACCCTTTTCTGTTGTTTTTTTCAGCACTGAGAAAGGCAGTGGGGTCGAGGGGCAAGATTGCTGCTTTTGGAGCTAGATGAGACCTGACTCCACCTCCTCCTGGCTGTGTGACCTTGGGCAAGCCATCAACCTCTCTGAGCCATACTGTCTCCTCTGTAAAATGGGGATCAAACAGCATCAACGTACAGGATTGTTAGGAAGACTAAGTGAGTGCACAATGTTACCACCCTACGTGGCACATGGTCAGTCCCCTTAAATATTTGCTCTTTCTATCAACTGTTCACTTCCCTCCAGCCAGATCCAAGGGTTCCTGCTCTCCAGTCCTCTAGGCTGCATTTAAAAAGTCAGGGGGGCACCACGAAAAGAACATTCCACCACTGAGCAAACTACTTTGCTCCTTATGAGCCCATTTCCTTGTCTATAAAATGGGATTGTGGATGAATAATGTTTAAAAATATTAACTTTTTTCTCCTTTCCTGCTTTCCATTTGCCCCTTTCAAACAGGTAATCTCGCTCAGGGGAAGTGGTAAGAGCCCATAAGTCTTTCAGTCTTAGACTTAGGGCAAGGGGCTAAAACCTAGATGCCACGTATTGAAAAAGGATGAGGGAGGAATTTCTCAGAGATAGCCAAAGAATCCGAGGAGTCTGCACGGGGTTCCCCACAGGGTGGCTGGACCTCTAGCAGCTTCAATAAGACCTCAGGCCTGGGTGAAACGGAGCAGGACCTTACGGTCCTTGCCCCCCATGTCCTCAGCCTACCTTTTGTCTATGGAAAAACTTTAGCCAAAGAGTAAGTTTAATCAGAGATGTGAGAAGATGCAGGAACAAGGGAAAATAGTCCAATAAGACTGAATAATAATAGTCTAGGCATTAAGCATAGTCAAGGACCTTAGTTCCTCTTCAAGGGCTATAGATAATATTCTGAGCCATATCATTTGAGCTGTCTTATAGATACTGAAACCCCCATCAGGTGGAAGAAGTTAACTACATGATGACCAGACTGTAGCCATGACATAAGCTGCCACAATTCTGAGAACTGGCCTCAAAGGAATGGGAAGAAACGGACCGTGGAACTAAAGACCGTGTTAGGTAGCTAGTCAGACGTGAGTGGGTCCCGCCCCATCCTGGATGGGGTCATCTTTCCCTCCCCACCTGGACACTGGTGACCAGAACATGCCCAGAGATCCTCCCTTTTTGTGGTTAAGGACCGCTAAGTTTCCAGCCTTATGAGGACCAAGCAAGATATTGAAAACCCAACAGGGTTTTCCAAACCATCAGCACCCAGACCTAAGAGGTGACTCAGACTAACCTGGGGCTCATTATGCGGTATTTATAATAAATTAGCATTGTGGTTCCCCACCCCCACCCCCATTTCTGATTGGGTGCTTATGGGTAAGTGCCTGCATACAAGGAGAAAAGTTATATAACCTAAAGCTGTCAATCAACTTGTATATCCAATGATGCAGGACACAGGGAGGGACTTGCCACGATTTTGAAAACCCAGCCCTACCCTCACTGCGGGGCTGCTTCCGGTGCCTAGACAGCTCACCGTCCTCCCTTCTTGAGGGTGTACTTTTGCTTTGCTGAATAAGACTCCTGCTGCTTAAAACTACTCTATGTCTCTCAGTTGAATTCTTTCCCTCGAGAGGACCAGAACCCAGGAGTCACCGTTCCACCGGTAACATGCGGGTGGCAGAGGAGGCCCAGGGACAACCAGGCCTGAAGAAGCAGAGATGGATCAGCAGCAACCCAAGGTGGTCAGAGCTGCCCACCTACCCTCCACCCACTGGACGCCACAGGACCGCGTAGCCAAGCCCCAGGACGGCAGGGGTGGAACTCCCCACCAGGCCAGCTCGGCGAGGGCTGGGAGCCAGAAGGGAAGTCAGAAAAATCAGGCAACATTTCCCTGACGTCTGAGTGTGTGGACTGAGTTCATACCTGCTACAGGGATGCTAAGACCTCACAGGTTCTCTAAGGGTCGCTATTAAGATGAACCGCGATATTATAATAAAATACCTGGCAGTGTGCTGGGACAGTAATTTTTCCCCTCGCCACAGTGAATTCCGTCCCACAGCCCTGATATGGGTGTGGAGTCTACTCCCTCTAAACCTGGCTTCTGCCTCTCACCAGCAAGTGCCCCCACTCTTGGAGCCTCAGGTGTGAAAGGATGGAGCAACCCTCTTCCCTGAGATAATCCCCATCAGGGACAGTGATGCTCCAGGGCGGTGGCTCCGCCCCACTCTTACCTTCCGTGGTGAGGCTGTCGACGAAGACGGAAGAGGAGGTGGTGGTGAGGTCTCCGTCAAAGGGGCTGAAGGAGCTGTCGGGCGAGGACGAGGAGGAGTCCTCGTCCTGGAAGTCCTCACACGTCCCGCCCTCTGCCTGCAAGAGAGAGCCTGTGCTGCTCTGGACAGAGGCCTCGCCGGCGGCCATGCTGCACACAGGAGGATGGTGGGGCGCTCGCATCCCTCAGCGGCCAGAAGATTTAAGATTCCAGTGCGTGGCCCAAGCATGGTAATCTCACCAAAGCTGGGCTCTGAATACATTTAAGCTTTCCACTTTATCCTGAAAGCGTCTTGTCTTACAGGGCAATTTATCTGTCAGCTGCCTCGAATCCCTCCTGAAAGAAGGAGCTGAGATGCCAATCTTAAATAAAGCGAATCTGTACGTTCACCAACAGCCAGCGTCAGCAGTAGGCTTCTGGATGGACAAAGTTTGTTTTTTTTCTAAGGCCAGAAACGGCTCACCCAGCCTTACTGATAAAACAGATGGTGGTGAGCACATAGCAGTAATCCTGGGGGTTCACATTTAAATGCTGGGCCTGGCACCTTCACCATCTCACCGGCTGTGAGCTGCAGGCCAAATCACTAAACCTCTCTGAGCCTCAGTTTCCCGCTCCGGTAAGTGGGGGCACTGGCCCCCAGCTCCCGGAGACCGTGTTAGGATTAAATCAGGGCAAGTGCAGGACAGCATGCGGCGAAGTGCTGGGCGCATGCGCTGTGCTTGCACTGCAACGGAGGAAGGGAGGGGGAAAGGATGCGTGGATGAAAGGGTCTGTGTCAGTATAAGGTGTGAGAAGTGGAGGCTCCCCACCCAAAGTGTTGAGCATTCATGGAAAATTCCAGCAGTGAGAAGGAACCTGCATGGGATTCTAAATGGGAGGTGCCAGGAACAACCCTCCTCGTTCCCAGGACCACTGCCTTCCTCAAATGCCGGAGGGCTGGAGCCCGGTAGTCGCTTTTTGAACATCACCAGGTGCACAGCCTCCCGGAGGATCCCGCTGTGGCCAAGGCCACGCCCAACGTACCCTCTGTAAGGACCAAAAGAGCCCCTGGAGAGCTGCCGCTCCAGGCTAAGTCACCAGAAGTGCTTGTCTCAGGGACCCATCGAGCCCTCGGAAACCTCCCATGTGGGTCTAATTGGCTCAGAGCAGACAGGGAGACAAGCCCCAGGTGGAGGGGAGAATTTCACCAAGAGCCAGAGATGCCTTGAGAAGAGCTACCCGAGCTAGTAGCCCTGCTCCTCCCCACACCTGGCTCACTTAAGCCTCTCACCTCCTGGGCACAGCCATAGGACAGCCACTCCTGGCGGTAGCGGTCAAAGCCACTGGAGCATCTGCAGGGGAAACCAAAAGGCCAGAGGTGTGATGGGATTGACAGAGAAGCCCTCCTCTTCACCTCCCCCTATGCAGTAATAGCTCTCCAATGATAGCAAGGAGGGGGCGAACCTCCCCAAGACCACTGGGCAGGTGCCGTGGGAGCGAGAGTCAGACCGTCCTGTCCCTCTACTCCTTTCCCCAAAGGAGGGGAAGCTATTTGTGGCATCTTCTCCCTCCTCCTGACCAAGCTCCCCAGGACCAAGACCACATCTGCCCAGATGTGGTGTGTAGGGAGCTGACAAATTGCATGACCTCTAATGACCTTTAAGGCCCTCCTGACTCTGGGCGGCCACGAAATTGCTGAGAATCCAGGGAATTCACACACATGTTCTCATCTGGGGAAAGTCTTACTCATTCACCAAGCCCCACTTCTTCATGGAGGAGCCTAAACTTGTCAAGGAGGCGCAGGGCTGAGGGTGGCCATCAGCCAATCTGGCCAACACCCCCTGTGTGATCATTGAAGGGCAGAAGTCAGGGTCCTGCCAGAGTCTGGGAGAGATTAAACACTGGTTGACAAGGGTTCCTGGAGGACAATGAGAGCTCAGCTGGGCTGGAAGTTGTCAAGTGCTTCCCTAGGGAAGGGGTGTGGTGCGAGGATGAACCAGAGAATGTTCTTCATGGCATCATGCTCAAAGTTCCGTTCTTCACTCTTTGGTGCTAGGAGAATCCACCAAGCCCTACTTAAGCTCAGGAACCGCCGCATGGGAAAATAATATCCCAAGCCACCAGTGCTGCGAAAGGATTCGTGGCTGGTTAACTCTGCACCGGCAACTGCCTGCCCATCGACCCGAGACCTGGTGAGGCTGAGGCTTCCAGGCGCTGTCAGCCTTTCCTTCTGAAGATGCCTCTGAGCTGCTCCTCCTGCAGCAGCGGCAGCTGAGCTGAGCCATCCACACCCCCTCTGTCAGGTCCTCCGTGCCCCCTCCCTTGAGGGATGGAAGATTAAGGGCATTGTTGGGGGCTGGGGACTAAAGTTTCTTTTAGGCCAAACTAACTGGTTCTTTCAAGGACTGAGCCTTTGATAAATGTCTAAGAGCACCCCTTTCCAAGCTCGGGGCCAACCAACCCAGATGCAAAGGAGAAGGGCATGAGAAATGGCCACTGTTCGAGTGCCTCCTGAATGCCAGGTGCTGCCCCAGTCCCAAGCTGCTCCGGCACTATCTCATGGGACCCTCATGAAAACGCTGTAAGACAAGGGTTATGTATGACCCTCATTTTCAGAGCCAAATCCTGGAGTCAAAGTCACCCATTGACTTCAGAGTGGGTCACTGGGTGGGCAATAGGGATGAAAGGAAAATACCTGCATGATAAGTGAAATAATCTAAATCAGATCTGGCCCCAGCATGGGGAGGGGAAGCTCTGGGAGGCTGCAGAGGGCAGAGTAGGTGGAGGGGAAGCCGAGAACCCATGTGATGGTTTCAAGCAGCTGTTGGTGGGAGAGACCATGGTGGCCGGCCCCCTGCACCAGCTCTGACCTCTGGCTTTTTAGGAACCTGGAGTCAGCTCTCAGTTGAAGCTGAGGCTCCAGAGATCTGTCAAGAAGGGGCCGTGCTCAGTGAGCCCAGGCTCACGGACATCCAGGGACAGGATCCCTGATGGAGCTTCTTTGTCCCGTAGTTGACATAACCCAGCAAAGGCAGTATCCACACCCAAGGCCCTGCCCTCCCCCTGACCAACCCTCATTAAACTGTCATAGTTTTCTGGGTTTGGGCGTATGCATTAAGTGGGGGTGTATCAAGCCAGGGTTTTGCTTTCATGTGAGCCATTTTGCAGTTCTCCTGGCTCAGCTGTTGGTGGACACTGAGTCATGCGGTGGCAGCCAGCCCCGGCGTTCCAGGCTTCTCTGCAGTCATCTGGATGATCTCCCTGTGCTCAGACAGTGACTCTCAAACTTGAAAGTGCACAAGATGGACCACACCGCAAAGCTCCACGCCAGGAAGAACCAACCTGGGGTGTGCCCTGTGTACTCTCTCTGAGGCTCTGTGCCTTTCATGTGAAGGGCCCTGAACACTTTGCAAAAATACTATCTGGTATTTGAGGAGTTAAAATAACAGGCATGTTCCTCACCCACATCCCCCCGAATCACGTAACCCCAGCCCATTTTACAGGGAAAACAAACTGAGGCCCCAAGAGAGTGAATAAGAGCACAGCTGTTGGGAAGAACACCTGGGAGGCCAGATGAGCACCCCTTTCTCCTCCCGGCCCAGAGTTGTGTCTTGTGTGCTAGGCCAGCGACCTATAAAGGCAATGGCTTCTATTTCTGCACCAGGATACTGGAAAGGAGCAAAGGAAACACTGACAGATTCAGGACAGCTGCAGAGAACTCAGAGCCTCTATAATTTGCAATTTTTCAAGATTGCCTTAAAGGCTCTTGTAGTTCATAGCTTTTCCCACTCTCATGGGAGCCCTAGTTCCCAAAGAAATTCTTTTTTTTCCCCCCTGCCATTTATTTCTCTTGGACAGGAGAACAGGGCTCAGATTCTGAGTCTAATCCGTGAGGGAATGATTTCAGAACAAGGAGAGGAAGATGACTTGGATTTAAGAACTTTATGCCTGAGGCTGAATCTCATCCAGAATTTTCCCTGCTTCCAAAACCAAGCAAACACAGCTTGGTCACTTGCTCCAGCTTTCCACAGACGCCTGCAATTTCCACACCCATGGTTTTCAGGAAACCCTTCTGCAGCCTGAGAAAGATCTTGAGGTGCTGATTTGGGGTCATGGGGCTATCCTCCAATGGCGATGGGTCTTAAGCTCATCCCGTCCCTGAGCCGGCAGATCTCACGCTTGTTTGCAGATGAGGTACCGTGTTAAAATGCAGGTTCTTGGGCTTCTCTCCCAGAGACCTGATGCAGGGGGCCAGGGGTGGGCCCTGAGAATCTGCATGTTTACCGCAAGCCCTAGGTGATTCTGGGATGCTCACAGCTGTGGACCACTCTTTGAGAAGGCCTGCCAGAGGATGAACCAACCCTCCCAGGTGCGAGGAGGGACCTGCAGTAGCCGGAATCTCTGAATGGTCTTCCAGAAGTCTAGTGTCACCACAGGGTGACATATAGTCACCTTGATGGGTCACAAGCCTCAGGGAGACATTCACTTTCATGATATTCTTGTCCTAAGTGTCACAGGAGCGCTGGCCAGAGATACCCTCATGTTGGTAATGAGGCCCAAGGCAGGGAGTGGGGCCGTGCCACCATCTGCCCCCCTGCACAGTCTGCCTGTGGGAATAAGAGGGTGAGCCTGGTACAAACCTCTGGAGGACATGGCACCAGCTGCAGTTGAAGATCAGGTCTGAGGACATGCAGGTGTCGCAGCTCCGATGCTGCAGGCAGGCTGCAAGAGAGAAGGCAGCGGCCCCTCAGTACCAGCCCCTCCACAGGCCTCCAAAAGGTGCAACTTTCCTGAACGCTGGGTCCTTACACAACTCTGGAGGCTCTGACTAGCAGGGACCCTAGAAGTTTTTAATGCCACCCTCACTTGAGTCCAGCCTTGATTCTCTAATTCTCCCTCTCTACCCTCCCTCCCTCCCTCCCTTCCTTCCTTCCTTCCTTCCTTCCTTCCTTCCTTCCTCCCTCCCTCCCTCCCTCCCTTCCTCCCTTCCTTCCTTCCTTCCTTCCTTCCTTCCTTCCCTCCTTCCTTCCTTCTTTCCTTCCCTCCATCCTTCCTTCCTTTTGTCACCAGGGGGTCAGGCCCTGAGCTGGTACTAGTGATTCAGCAGTAAGACCTGGTATTTCTTGGGCCTTACAGTCATATGGAAAGACAGACCCTAAGCAGATCATCAAACAAAAATAACTACATAATTATCATTGTGATGAGGTTTACGTAGGAAAATTACAGGGCGCCATAAGCACGTACAAAGGGATTGCACCTAGTCTGGAAAGTTATACTTCTGGCCTATTGCCTACAATTACAGGGTTGCAAAGGATTTTTTTAAATCGACATATATTTGACATATAACGTCATGTAAGTTTAAGGTGTACAACATATGGATTTGATCCATTTATATGGCTGTATGATCGCCACTGTAGCATTTGCTAACGCCACCATCACTTCACATCAGTATCATTTCTTCCAGTGCTGGGAACAATTAAGATCGAGTCTCTTGGCAAATTTAGTCTTTACAGTTGTGTTGTCTACAATCACTGGAAAGGATTTAAGATGTCCTGGTTTGACCAGCTAGCACTCCCTGCTCCTAGGGACTGTTTGTGTGGCTGGATTGCCGTCAGAGGCCCGCTCCTCCCAGGAAAGTCTGGGGGCTGAGTTTTTGAGAGTAAACCAGGCCAGGCATACGGAATTCCATTCCTTTCCTCTCCCTCTCCTCTTGGAAGTGAGCTATTCCCAGGGGGTATGCTGACCTCTGCTCATCCAAGCTTAAATCTTCCCGGGAGAGTTACCTGACCTCTTGGTGCCTTGGTACCTCACTCGTAAAAGAGGGATCAGGATGCTGTCTGTGTGGGAGGCCAGCTGTGAGAGGGTTTATAACAGTGCTGGCCACACGGTGAGCCAGTGAATGCTATTTGTTATCGACTCTGGTCCTTCATTCCCCTCAATATACCTATCAGGTGCTCATTCAATCATTTATTCTTTCAACAAATATTTATTGAGCGTCTACCCCAGGCCCGGCACTGTCGCAATGCTGGAGATGCAGCGTGAACAGGAAAAGACAGAAGCACTGCCCACATGGAACCTGCAGTCCAGTGGAGGAGACAGCCAACAAATACACAGACAAATAGATCCACCCTAGGGTTGCCAGTGGTGAGAAGGGCTGGGAGAAAAGCGGATCAGAACAGGGAGGTGGAATGACGGTGGGGGATGTGTTTTACTCAGGGAGGTTGGGGAAGGCCTCTGAGGAGACTGAGAGAGCGAGGAAGCCAGCCTGGCAGCTCTCCTGGGAGAGAAGTCCAAGCAGAGGGGCCTCTGTGTGCAGAGGCCTGGGAGGAACACATCCCAGGGATGCTCCCAACAGCAGTCAGCACGCTGGCCGGCTCAGCAGAGTGGAGAGCTGGAAGGTGGTAGGAATGGGGAGGAGGGGCAGCTGGGGCCTAGCCGGGCAGGGCAAGGGTGGAGAGCAGGCAAGTTAGTGGGAGCAGCTGCTGGAGGGTGCATGGACCCCCAGCAGAGAGGGCCCAGGGAGCAGGAGGTATGAGGGCTGGATTTTAAGACTTGTTCACTTGCTTAAATGCTGCCCACTTAAGTGAACCAGAATGACCTCAGAGTGGCAAGCAGCTGCCACAAAGCCCATGCATTTTATTATAAGGACAGACAGGCACTGACCCGGAATAACTGTGTGCAACGTAAGGGCACATCTGATGGGCAGCTGAACAGAACATGTTGGCAGCAGCCAGAAGTGACCACTAACTACAGAAAATGACCACTCATTCACGAGACATCACATACATTTCTTCTCTCTGTGAGTTTTCATGGGCCTGGGCCACAGTCCATTAATGAGGGAATCAGTTTGTGTTCTGTGGAACCCCAACAAGGTGGCAGGTGGTAACCAGCCCTTGGTGAGTGGGAGAAAAGCTGTTGTGGGCACAGCGTGGTCACCTTCAGTCACCTTGTGGGAGGGACGAGCTGTAGGTGGCACTGTGTCCTTTTGTCTACCAGGGCTCTGCAGGCTTTGGAAGGGTGGAGGAAAAGCCATCAGCAGAAAATAAGCAAGGACCGACTTGGCCCAAGAACAAGAGAGCTCTGGCTGTTTTGTTCTCTGGTGCGTCCAGAGGGTCTAGAACAGCGCCCAGCACGTGGTAGGCAGTTAACAAAAGTTTATGGAATCGATGAATAGTTGCTTTTGTTATCCCCATTTTACAGAGGAGGAAACTGAGGCTCGGAGAGAGTCACAGAGCTAAGAGTGGCAGGTCTGGGTTTGAACCAAGGTCTGTCTGAGCCGAGAGCCTGAGCTCCTAGTCTCGAGGTCCTGCTGTGGGAATACGCCTCCCCAGCTCCCACCTTCACCCCAGGCCACCTTTTCATGAGCCTCTTCTAGAAGAGGGACCAGCCATGGAGTGCTATGGCTTAAAAATAGTCCAGCCACACCTCTGGAAGAATTTTGGCTAAAAGTCCTCCCCTACCCAAAGGTAAGGGAGAAAGCCTGGGGCTGTGGGGTGCAGAGTTTTCTGAGGACAAAGCAAACCTGCCTCCCAGAGGTTCAAATCACAGCCTTGGTAGCACTGTCCCTTCCCCTACATGGGAGCCTGTGATCATTTCCAAGGACTCTGGAGACCCCTTAAATGGCTCCAGTCAAACTGAGAAAAAACCCTGGGAGCCTCGTGGGATATTCATAAAACCCACTGACCTTTATTTCTCATCTGCATTTCAGATGTCCTGTGTGCTATTAAATGCTCACAGAATTCACTGGAGGGGTGGGAAGTGGCTTCAATGTACAGAATGTCCCAGAAACGCGTTCCCAGGACGTTTCACGTCTTCCGCCCCAGCAGTTAGCCCTGCCCTTGGATGTCCTTGTTCCCAAATGCAGAGTATTCATTCCTGGGTTTGCTCTCACCAGTCTTCGAGGAAGCCCTGCCTAGGGGGAGGGCCACTAGGGTGGGGGCGGGGCTGGAACCGCAGGTGTCCTTGTCCTGTGAATAGGTGTCAGGGACCGGCCTCTTTTCCAGGGGAGGACACCTGCTGGGACATGGCCTGGCATTCTAGAAGACCCTTCCTCCTCCTCTTCTTTCTTCAACCTCTGCTCCCAGAACCTCCAGGGAAGAGGAAGAGGGGGAAAGAGAGGTAAGAAATGCCCCAGAAGGCAGGGAGAAGGCCGTGGCTTCAGAGGGAAGCTGGGAGGTACCATGAAACAGGAGAGATGAAAACTTTCTTTAAAACTAGAACGAGAGCGCTGTCCTTCCCTCACTCTCCCCTGCCGCCCTGACCACATCCTGAAGAACATCCCATCCCGATCCTGCGGGGTCCGCAGCAGCGGCTGGGGCCCCAGCCATGGTGTGCCTTCAATGGCAGGTGAGTGGGGTACAGAAGAGGGACAGGACCAGGCCCCCTGGATCTTGGGGGGCTACTGGCTAAATCCCTCTACTGCCTCCTGCCTGTGGATGCCAGCATCATGCCTCCTCTAAGGAAAATACAATGATAAACTTATGGACCCATTCAGTTCCTGGATTATCTTTTCTGGGAGCTCAGTCTAAGTTCTCAGAGGTACCTCCTTCCTGGGTTTCAATTATGTGTTAATAACAATAGCTGTCATGTATCAAGCACAAGCCACGCCCTGGGCCTGGGATGTGCCAGTTAATGTCTGAGCTTTCATTTACAACCTCAGCTCCACCTACTGTAGTTCTAACCCTTACTGTAGCCCTGGGAGGGAGATGGTGTTAGGCCCATGTTACAAATGAGAAATGGAGGCCCAGAGAAGTTAGGTGGTGGTACCCAGACAGGGGACAGTGGTGGGCCTGGGATGGAACTCAGTCTGACTCCAAAGCTCTTTCCAAGATGGTGGAATGCCTCCCCCCCATCAGTGGGAACAACCCCTAATTACTTGGTAACGGGGTGAACTCCACAGCAGATGCGCTGGTGACCTTGCTGGGGTCCAGCTCCACACGGTGGTATTCGAAGATGGTCCTTCGCCGAGATTCTGAAACATAGGCAGAGTCTGTCGTCAGGAGCAGCTCATGGCCAGAGGGCTTCAGGGCCTGGGCCTGGGGCCTGACAGGTGGGTTAGAGATTGTAGTGAGTAGAACCAGGAGTTAGTATGCAGCCACTGAGGGCGGGAAGTAAACCCACCATCCTTGGATAATGGTGTTGAAACTGTGGGGAGACAGGAGAACAGGAGTTGGCCTTGAGGGGAGAGCTTTGTGTTATAAGCAGGTTAATAACGCAGAGGCCCGGCTGTTCCTGGGGTCAGGACACAGGGGGTCCACACTTTCCCATGCCTCTGTGACTTTACAGCTGCTGTTCCCTTGATCCATAATGCTCTTCCACCCTTTCTCTCTTCTTCTCCAGCTCACCCCTCCAGATCCAGCTCAGGGCCACTTCCTCTGAGCACCCACTCTAGACCAGCTGCCTCTTATTACCCACTTTGCCCTGTGCCCTCCTCTCACTGCACTTACATTGTGTGGTCATTAGGGTTGATTTGGAGGGTGGGGACCATTCGACTATGGTCACCTGGTCCCGAACCTGACCCCCAGTGAGCACTCTGCAAATGTCTGCAGATGGACGGGCTGACCTTGGAGAACCTCTCCCCTCCTTGATGCAGGGGAGAGCAAGTTTCAGGGCCTGCAGCCAGGCTTATGTCCTGCCTCGCTCCCTGCAGAAACTTCCTACAGGACCTCAGAGTCAAGAGCCCTGAGTTCTGAGTCAAGTTCTGCTCCTGACAAGCAGGATAACCTTAGGGCCTCGGTTTTTTGTCTGTGAAGTGCATCTTCTTTCATGACCCTGCCTCCCTGGCCACACAGTGATTGGTCCAGGGCTGGGCATCTGATGAAGTCAGACCAATCAGAGACCTTCCCTGGGACTTTTAAACTATAACCAGAAGGCCCTTTGCTCTCCAGTAATACTGCTAAGAAGATGCAAGCTCGGCGTCCATGAATGGCCATGGCTCCAGTCTCAAGGGGAAAGCCAGAGGATGAAGCCACCTCGTGGAGAGAAACTGGTGGCATTCCAGGCTCTGGAGTCCCCAGACCTGCCCTGGTCCTATCTTCCCAGTTGTTGGCTCTTCCTTTGGTTCTTTGGGCTACTTTAGTATCCCCAGTGCACTCCTTTTCTCACTCAGCTGAAGGTGATTTGGAGAAAAGTTTCCCGAGGTGGTAGCAACACTCAGTGGGGGCATCCATGAAAAGCAGGGTGTCCTGTGCAACCGCTGGGCGGCCCATCCTGAATGAAGGATCTAGGGGAGCATCCACTACTCAAAAGAACATCTCAGCTACGTTTCTGTAATTTATTTATCCTCAATTTTGGAACCGTTCCCTCCTACTTAACCCAGGATTGAACCCCAGGTGGTCTGACCCAAAGCGTGCTCTCTTCGCACCACACCCCACTGTCCTGCTGCAGAGCCTGGAGGCACCTCAGCCCCTGAAGCATCCACGACCACAAAATACCCTTGAAACATTCTGTGCAATGAAAAGGAAACTGCTCCGGCGCTGGTGGCCGCAGCACTACCCCGGAACTAAACAGGAATCTGTAGTCCACCTCAGAGGCCTGTGCTTGAAATGCAAGTACTACCCACTCACAGGTGCGCGCGCGTGCACACACACACACACACACACACACACATACAGATTTTTTCTAATACAAGAAAGGCCCTTTGCCAAGCAGGGGTGGGTCTGAAGGAGACTGGGGTGAGGAAGGGCACTTTTCCATAATTCAGCTGCCCAGAAGAGGCACCAATTTTCAATTCACCAAAGGCCCACATGTGCTGCAGGGCCCTCCCTGTGTGACACCAACTGCTCTGCGAAGGTGGACTGGGCTTTGGGTGAGCCTGCAGGATGTGAAACATTGGGTGGAGGATGGGGAAGTTCCAGGCAGCCTTTCACAGCTCCATCCCACCCACTACCCCCAGAAACCATCTCTCCTAAAGAATTACCCCTTTTAACACTGAAATGGAATAGGATAAAAAATAAAGGTGAAACTTCAGGTCTTCCGAGGTGCCTGAGGCCATGGGGTCTAGACTCTGTGTAAACATTTCTTTCTCAATCTGCCTCGTCTTTCCAGGCTGAGTTCAAATGACAGGCCCCCCTTGAAGACATTCCCCCACCCTTGGGTGCAGTTAGTGGCTCCTCCTCTGAGCTCCACAGCCTCCTGTGCACTGTCCAGTGTCACCTGTTTCACAAACATTTACTTTGCTGGCCACCTCCCCCAAGGCTATGAGCTCCCCAAGAGCAGAGCCTACAAGTTATATGTCTCTGTCCCCCAGCCCCTCGCACCAGGCCCTGCACAGAACAGGGTCTCAAGAGATGACTGTGAATGAATGAATGGCTTACAAATAGCCAGGAAAACCCCAGCAACTTATTATAACTTCAGCCCGCAGCACAAAGGAAGAATGCCCTTCCTCCTCAGCCCACCACAGATTATGGCCTTTCTCAAAAGGGCAGCCGCCAACGGGCCACAAAAAGCCAGACCCTCCCAATGTTAGAGCTCAAAGGAGGAGGAGAATTGGCTTTCAGGATTTCTCCACCTGCAAGGATACAGGGGAGAGCCTGCCCTCGGTCAGAAGGCAGGTGAAATAGGAGAACAAAGGGGGTCAGGGTTGGGGCATGATAGAGACACGGACTTGTCAAGGGAGTTGAATTCATGGATAGAGACACACGAACAGCAGCTGGGGAAGGCGGGGCTCCCAGCAAACCCCACACCAGAATCTCGGAATGGGTCTCCCCACCAGCCTACTGGGGAGCAGAGGTGGGGACGTGCCTCAAGTGAGGGTACGGCCAGAGATGATCAGATATCCTCCAAAAAGCAACACAGCCCTACCAGCAAGGGTGGAGGAGATGTGTGTGGTAGGAAGTGGGAGGAGGGTGGGTGGGCCGAAACATATCTCTGATTAAAAATAGTTGCTCACGGGCTTCCCTGGTGGTGCAGTGGTTAAGAATCCACCTGCCAATGCAGGGGACATGGGTTCAAGCCCTGGGCCGGGAAGATCCCACATGCCCCGGAGCAACTAAGCCCATGTGCCACAACTACTGAGCCTGTGCTCTAGAGCCTGAGTGCCACAACTACTGAGCCCACGTGCCACAACTACTGAAGCCTGCACGCCTAGAGCCCGTGCTCTGCAACAAGAGAAGCCACCACAATGAGAAGCCTGCGCACTGCAACGAAGAGTAGCCCCCGCTCGCTACCACTAAAAAGAAAGCCCATATGCAGCAACAAAGACCCAAGGCAGCCAAAAATAAATAAATAGATAAATAAGTTTATTTAAAAAAAATAGTTGCTCACTTCAACTGCCCACTTGTACTTTTTTTTTAAGTGTCTGGTTTGGCAATACTTTTATTTCTTGATAAACAGATCCCTTAATATCCCAGCCTGTGTTATTTGTTTTTGGATTATCTCGCCAACATCTAGGGCTTGCCCAAGAACGATGATGTCCATCTGCCTGACCAACAGATCCCTGCCGGAACCAAGACGGTGGCCACCCCAGCGCCACATTTCTGGCAGTTTGAGACGTTTCTCTTTTATCTCTGCTTCCATTCATCAAAGATTCAGAAACACTAAAGTCCAGACACAGAAAGCCCTGTCATGCAATCAAGAGATGTTCATGGCTCAAAAGCGAGGTTGGCATGTCCTGTTCTGTTTCCACACCAGACACCAGCAGGGAGAGGGTTGGTTTGGTCAGAAGAAATCAGACTGACAGGTCCAGCCACAAACTTCCCTCCAAAACAGTGGTTACGATATAAAAAAATCTAAGATGGTGGCTCAGGAAAAAGTTTTCATTTGCTCATTCACATCTTCCTTTGCTCATTTGGTTATTCTTTTAATAATCATGAATTGAGCCCCATCAGGGGACCCCAGAGATAAACACAATGAGGGTCCTGTATCCCAAGGAGCTTTCAGCCCAGGAGGGGAGGGAGGAGAGACCTCCTCGGCACAGATGCAACGTAGAAAAGGGCAGAGGGAGGAGAGGAGGTGAGAAACGGCAAGGCTCAGGGAGCAGAGTAGAGGGAAAAACAGAAAAGAAAAAAAAAAAAGAAAAGTGAAAAACGGGGGGGGGGGGGGAGGGGAGGGGGGTGGGGATGGGGGAGGGGGAGGGCCCCAGGATGGATAAAAAGCTACAGTGAAGAGCACTGTAAAGGATCCTTTATCAGGAGCAGGGAGAAGACAAACTGGGCCAGATCTGGTGATGACACCCCCACCCCCACCACCACTTGGCTTCTCCTTCTCACTCCTCTGCAGCCAGTTCTGGGGCCTCCCTGTTCCCCACCCAGCTGCCCAGCACCAAGGTACAGCCCAGGCCTCTGCCACATTTCTCAAGCCTGCTTTTGAAAGGAAAGGAAAGTTCTGGTAAAGGAGAAGGCCCAAGTGTTCAGGCCGTCCAAGGCCATTCTGGGGTCAGCCAAGGGGCGGGCTACAATTAATGAATGAATTAATACAATTCCATTAATTCAGAATCTCTGTCAGTTTTGACGCTGGCTACCCTAAAGTTGCTTTTACACTGTCCATGAAAGAAAGGGTTTCTTAAACAAATGAATAGAGGAAATTATATTGACTTCTGGGGGCCCCTCCAGTCAAATAAAGAGTGTATCAGCTACCCTCTATGTTTTGCATGCTTCTTCAAACAGACGCTGCTAATCTGAATCTTTTCTCTGCATCAAAGCGTGCTCTGCAGACTCTGCTCCAAAGCCTGTGGAGCAGTTTCTGCGAGGAAGTAATGGTAAGAGAAACTCTGGCTGTTTTCAGCGTTTCTTCCCTCAACCGCAGGAATGAGACTGTGCAGAATTCCCTCCACCCTCAGACAGACACCCTTTCCTTT